GATGTACTGTACTGATAATCATTTATTGAGCAACTGGTATTTGGGAAGTCTTCTGCTAGGAGATTTAGCACAATATGTCATTTAATATTCACAAGAATCTTATATACTTTGAATGCACATAAGAAGAAACTGAAAGAAAGTTTAATGAACTTATCCAGGATCAGCTCTGAGTATGTCAGAATCACTATTTGAACTCAAATGGATCTGACTTGAATTCATTAGCCACTTCGGCAATATAAAAAGGGTAATAGATCTTAATAATTTTCATTAAAATTTTGTCTTTTAGGACAGTGCATTATAATAGGAGTAACACTGGTTTTAGAACCAGAACACTCTTGGAAATCTGGATCTACCAACTTATGACCTAAATAACTTTTGTTCTGGGGCTGGCTTCAGTTTTTTTTTATCTGTAAATAACTTTAAGACAAACAATGACCGGTATTTTTAGGAAGATACAAAGTAATATGGGACAAAGTAAAAATTCATCCAGGTGTGGCGAGTGAGGTCTTTGGAGAGGCTGTGTGACAGGCTCTATGTTGAGAAATTTCAAAGTATAGGATTTCAATCAGCACAGATGAGGAGGAAGAGTATTCCAGGTAAAATGACAAGTGAAAATAAAAGCAAGAACCACGGAAATGTGTGATGTGAAGTTAGTTTATTAAGATAAAGTACAGTGTGTTTGTCTGTTTCTGTGTGTATTTAGCTAAAGAAGAGCCTGAAGGCCGGGCGCGGTGGCTCACGCCTGTAATCCCAGCACTTTGGGAGGCCGAGGCGGGTGGATCACGAGGTCAGGAGATTGAGACCACGGTGAAACCCCGTCTCTACTAAAAATACAAAAAAATTAGCCGGGCAAGGTGGCGGGCGCCTGTAGTCCCAACTACTCCCGAGGCTAAGGCAGGAGAACGGCGTGAACCCGGGAGGCGGAGCTGGCAGTGAGCGAGATCGCGCCACTGCACTCCAGCCTGGGCGACAGAGCGAGACTCTGTCTCAAAAAAAAAAAAAAAAAAAAAAAAAAAAGAGCCTGAAATCAGGTCACGGATAATCTTAAATGCCATGTTTAGGTGTTAGAATCAAAATTATACAGAATACATCTTAAGAATTTAGAATCAGACATTTTAGGATTAAATCCTCGTCCACTTCTCATTAGCTGGGTGACTGTGGACAAGAGGAATTGAGCTAGCTTCATGTCCTTTTTTTTGTAAAATGCAATAATCAAAGTACCTGTCACATAAAAGTAAAATTAAGGACTGAGTGATATAATGCTATAGCTCTTAGCCTCCTAGCACATGAAACACTTAATAAAGGGTTAAATATCATTATATGAAAAGGAAGTATTAATATTTACTATAATAATAAAACCCTATCTACTACCCCCCAATTTTCTGTGAACCTCAGCTACATACTATTATTTGCCACCTTAGGGTTTTCTTTATCCACTTGAGAAATCGGAATTTCAATTGTGTTGTGTGTATAAACTGGATTTCACTTCAAACAGTGAGAAATGGAAAGCAGAATAGACCCTATTATCTGATAATATTTTAGAGAATGGTTTACAGTTTTTTCTGACCATGGGAAGATTGAAAATATATCCTGCATGTACACTTGCAACCCCACTATTCTAAATATTCAAGAGTGTTTCTCTCCTTTAAAATAATTTGCTTTAAAAAACTTTTTAGTGACTGGTAGAACCTGGAAAACTCTGATGGTGGAATGTTAGCCTTATTCAAGGTGAGAGAGGAGGTGCCAATTCTTTTACACAATGTGAATATAAATGATCAATCTGATATGTAAAGTACTGACCACCACTTAGAAACTTCTCCATGACAGTAGAAAAGAGTACATTGAATCTCTAAGTCAATGCAGGAATGTAAGTCAAGATGCCACTGTCATTAAGGTGGCCACTAATTTCCTAGGGACATTTTAATTTCTTGTTCAGTAAATGTTAAGACCCTCACTATTCTTAAGTTCAACTTTACATGGCAGAATCCCTTGGTGTTCACCTGTATCCCCAAGGTGTGTTCAAAATCTTTGGGATCCCAGTGTTACTTTATGGTGATAGAAGTCAGTATCCTTCAGCTTTTTTTTTTTTTTTTTTTTTCATTTTGAGACGGAGTTTCACTCCTGTTGTCCAGGCTGGAGTGCAATGGTATGATCTTGGCTCACTGCAATCTCCGCCTCCTGGTTCGAGCAATTCTCTTGCCTCAGCTTCTCAAGTAACTGAGGTTACATGCGCCTGCCACCACACCCAGGTAATTTTTTTTGTATTTTAGTAGAGATGGGGTTTCACCATGTTGGCCAGGCAGGTCTTGAACTACTGACCTCAGGCGATCCTCCCACCTTGGCCTCCCAAGTGCTGGGAATACAGGCGTGAGGCACTGCGCCCGGTCGGATTCTGACTTTCAAGAAGCAAAAACTTACATAATTATACTAATATATACCTACGCTATTGGTAGTAACAAAGTATTTTATGTCTGTTACTTCCTTTGAGGACTCACAACATCAAGGGAGGAGCAAAGATGAAAGAATTTGGAGTCTACCAATAATGAACAAAGACAGAGAAATTTTTTTTACTTGTTCAAGACCACAGTGACAAATGTAGTTTCACAGATCATCGGTGACCTATCTCAATATTCTGTTCAATGTAATATATCTATTGATTGATTAGTTTCATGATCAAGGACAATTTTATTAATGCAAATAGGTTGTCACTAACATAACCTACTGGCCTTCTTAAAAGGAACCTTAATCATGTGAGCAATCTTAGCTATTTCCTAATGAAGAAAGTAATACCACGCTTCTCTTAAGCATCATTTAAATGGAACTATGAGATATGAGGTTGCCTCTGCTAACTTGGTAAAAATGCATTAGGACAGCAACATAACACATTCTAAACACTTCAAATTCATACTTCCATGCAGTAATTCGATTTTTTTGAAACTGAAAGGATATTATAGAGAGATTTTAAATAAAGTGTAATTACTTAGACCTTTAACTATGCTGATAAGGTTAAGGTGAATAATCATGTGTCTAATTATGAAAGAAACACATAATGGGCCAGGCGCAGTGGCTCACACTTGTAATCCCAGCACTTTGGGAGGCCGAGGCAGGTGGATCACAAGGTCAGGAGATGGAGACCATTCTGGCTAAAATGGCGAAACTCCGTCTCTACTAAAAAAACACACAAAAAAATTAGCCGGGCATGGTGGCGGGCACCTGTAGTCCCAGCTACTCAAGAGGCTGAGCAGGAGCATAGTGTGAACCCAGGAGGCGGAGCTTGCAGTGAGCTGAGATTGCACCACTGCACTCCAGCCTGGGCGACAGAGCGAGAGCGAGACTCCGTCTCAAAAAAAAAAAAAAAAAAAAGAAAAAACCAAAAAAAAAAAAAAGAAAAAACAAAAACACATAATGAGCTTCTTAAGCAAATGACAATATCACCAAGTTCCTTTTCTCAGCTGCTTTTAACCTAATCATTTATGTGAATGTGATTTTTACTGTATCAAGTTCTTTAGGTTGAAAAGCTTACATCATATTCAATTATCTTTTTTAAAAAAACTATTTTACAGAAGTTTTTATTTTAAAATTTAATTTTGCTGGCTAATGAAGAATAATTACTTTTGAATCTTTATCAACATTACTCTTTATATTATCATACTAACAGATTACTTTATATTATTACTTCCTCAAATTATTTCAAGTATTTTTTGTGTTCTTTTGTCTAAAAGTTCTATTTCAGGAATGTATTTTATATGCATGATCTCACTTAATCTTCACAATTCTATTTATTCCCCAAAACACTGAAATATAGAAAGCTTATCCAAGTTATCATAGTGGAAAAGTCAGAATTAGAACCAAATTCTGTATGATCCCTGATAGAGCAGGAGCACAGTCATCTCGGACAAACACGGCCACTGTAAGTTCCAGCTCTCTTTCTAGCCTCATGCATTTTAAGGAAATTACTTCTCTTCTAACTACAAGCAGCCACAAAGAGCAGACAATAAAACACAGATAAGACAGCTTGGGCGCAGAGGGAGGTGGGAGGAAAAGTCTCTCAGGTAACTGCCAAACTTTACCCTTATACAATGGGCCCAATAAAACAGTGGGCCTTAGTAAACACATTCCTTTCCCTTCAGGTGCGCTAAGATAGGGAAGCTAAACGCAGACTCGGAAGGATATGCCTGAAGTTGCAGAAAGATGTATAGGAGCAGACACACAACTCTCCCTCCCAGATAAGCACAACAAAGAGACACAGAAGCAATCCAAGCCTCTGATAAACTCTCCCACCCTGAATCCTTAAAAACTCTTGGTCTGTAAGAGAGTGTGGCTTCTGACCTAATTCAGTCAAAAGTCCCTCCCAGGTTTAAAATAAACCTGTTGACTGTGGAGCCACCCTTTGTGTTTCTCTGCTCTTTCTTCAATTCTTACAATCACAAATTATTTTCTATTAATGACTGTATTATGGGTGAATATATATGTTACTATTTAGGAAATAATATTAAAGTTCATTGTTTGCTCCCTTAAAATTTTGATACCATGTGCTCAAATGGTACTGAGACCTTCTTCCTTTTCCTATCCAAAAAGATATACTTCACAGCTTGTTTTCCATTCTGACATACTAAAAAATATGGAAATTTTATGCAACTATTTAGCTGAATTAACACCTTGTTTTCAATTATAAATTTTAATTACATTTAATTACTGATTGTTTATATTCACTTCCAGAATAATAGGCTTTAGTTAAGTATTTTTCTTAATTCTAGCCTTTTCTATATATGTAGATATAATTTTTTTATATATGACATATTTTAGAATCTGTTTCGTTATTTTTTCTTAACCATAATCTATGAGGGAAGTATGAAAATACATACAAAGTTTTTGGTATATTTTTACTAAATTTATTTACTCTGAGTATCTACCAGATTAAATATATTTAGTTTTTGTTGAGACTAATAAATAGAAAAGCATCATTAAAAAAACTGTTATATTTCTAGCTTCTAATTTTGTTAAAATATCCCAGTGATATTTTCTAGCAATAGTAAAGTAGGAAAAGATTTATTTCTTACCTGTACAATGTCTCTTTCAGCATATTTTCCTCTAGAGGAGACTCTTACATCATCTCCATCCAATTCAACCATTGCTTTAAGAGAAAATATGATCATTTATTCAGTACATTTCAGCCAAATACTAAAACAATGTGAACAGTAAGGAAATCAAGATGTATGAAGTAGCAAAATGTCCTATGAAAAGAAAGCAAGCATGTTGATCCCTTCAGGTCTTCATTTCTCACACAAAACTTGACTAAGTGTGCATTTTACAGACAAAGTGAGCCAAGATCTTGTGTGACTCTTTGAAAGGTGAGCAGAGCCAGTCATTGTGAAACTGTTTCTGAGTCTATCTCTCCATTCTACCAGTTCTAAACTTCGGATTATATGGTTCCATGACTGAGCAAGTGATGTTAATCCATCAAATTTTAATTTTTCTTTCTAATTTAAGAAGCTTGGCCTTAATCATCATAGAATTTTCAATTACAAGTTGAACTTTATTTTTACTGAAACTACGGCAAAGTCATACACATACACATACACATATGCACATACACACACTGCCCAATTTTTACTTTACAAACATATTTAAAAACAGAGGCATTTTCTCTGCTCTTATACTGATTGGATAAAGTATGATTTTTCTGAAGTACAATTTTTTTGTTGATTAAGAAATAATTCTGACATTTCCTAGATCAGTTGGTATTTGGAAGTGCTGCGATATAATGGGACAGCTGGTGATACAGTAATGCCATGCTGCAATTAAGAACATTTTCTAGGGTTTATTAAGTTTTCAGTGAGAATTCTCTAAATAATTAATTACATGAGGAATGCTAATTTGTGCTTGTATAATTCTATTACTGTTATTTCATTTTGTATACATATGACATTCACCAGACTCCAGAGAGCCACTTACAATTATAATTTTGGCCTCATCACCTCTCTACCTGACTCCAATACTGCTCAGTCAGCATACAATCCTCACTTCTTTACTCTTTTCTTCGGTGCTTAGATAATGTATTTGGGTTAAAAACATTCTTTTCAATTTTACTTTTCTACACATGTTCATGAGTCAATGCTTGGGCTGAAACATTGCGAGTATACAAATGAACGGAGAGCTACTGTTCAATAATTTGTCAAGGTGTACAATATATATCATAATTATGTAAAAACTATATTATCAATAATAAGATAATTATCCCAATGCAAAAGACATGTTTTAATCTCCCTTACTTCTTGGATATGTAAATATAACTTATTATGTTCAAATATTTTCAGTGATTAATTCTTTTTATATCTAAATTTGCTTTTACAATTTTCACATTACTTTGGGACATAAATACGCACCAATGGTAACATCCAGTGGTCACAAACACTTCTCCATTATTCTTTAACATGTTAATAATTTACAACAATTACCCTATACTCATGCTAAAATGGGAAACAAGGATTAGATGATAATCTAGGTCTCACTTTCCACAATCCTCTACAATCCCCATTGGTCTTTGTTTCATTCCAATTAATGAAAAAAAGGACAGTCATTTAGGCAATACTGTATTAGCATGAGGTCCTATAAAATATCTCCCACTTTTCAGCATGTCCCATGGTTTAAAACACTGTAGACAGCAAGAAGTGGAGGCTATGCTTTTGAGAGAAACAAGAGAGATGGTGTGTAAGTGGTGGAGGGGTCAGGTCTACTCTTCAGGTTTGCAGACCATCTGGTCCTCAAGCAGACGGAGATTATGAACCCCAGTCTCCCACCATTACCTCTTCCTGGAAAGGTGTATGAGACAGATCTGCATTTCTTTCTACCCATGGGAGACACAATGAAGTTAGAAACCCTTTTATTTATCCCCTTCGTCCAACTCGAATCAAAGCAGATAGCCAGATGCTGCTTTAATTTGACTTTTTGGCTGCCTTTTAAGTATAAAGAAATCTTGCTTTGAGAAATCTTTCTTCACAATAAAGGTTCTTTTTTCACGAGTGAAAAAGAGTCACTGGGGAAATTTATGTAGATAGTTTTCAAATGGTCTTATCAAAATACAGAGTTAAATTTAAATACTCAATCTAACAGTTTATTCTTATTTCCTCTACCTTCAAAGGACAGATGGCAAAATATTGTATTTCTTGCCCATGCAAACAATGTCTTTCAGGTTAAAAAATGTGTAGATGTTGGATTTATGTGGTTAGCTGATGAAATCTGTCATATGGTTTGGCTCTGTGTCCCCACCCAAATCTCATGTCAAATTGTAATTCCCATTCTCATTGAGGGAGGGACCTGTAATCCCCACATGTAGAGGGAGAGAAGTGACTGGATTATGGGGGTGGTTCCCCCATGCTGTTCTTGTGATAGTGAGTGAATTCTCACAAGATCTTATGGTTTTATAAATAGCCTTCTTTCCTGCCCTCTCACATGCTCTCTCTCTCTCCTGCTACCATGTAGGATGTGCCCATTTCCCCTTCCACTGTGATTCTAAGTTTTCTGAGGCCTACCCAGCCATGTGTAACTGTGAGTCAATTAAACCTCTTTCGTTTATAAATTACCCAGTCTCGGGTATTTCTTTATAGCAGTGTGAAAACGGACTAATACAATTTGCGAGTTGGATCTCCATCAGTCAGTTCATATATGTGTGATATATACACTTACTCTAGAGTAGATTTGGAAGTGCCATGAGAGGCTCCTCTGATAGGACAGCAACAATTTGACTAGTCAGATATTTTTCTATATTAAACATGAGTTTAATATATGAACTTTTTTTTTTTAGCCAGGAAGAGATGTGTTTTGAAAGGAAAAAAAGAAAAATACTTCAGAGAAGCATCTATTGTCTCCTAGCAGAATAATCTACTTTTCTAGTACTGGGCCCTAAGTTTTTCTATCCCATTAAAACTTCCATCATGGTGAAAACAGAAACCAGGTGTTACAGGAGCCTAATTCCCTGTTCCCATGTTTCCAGAGGAAAATTTCACTCTAACTTCTGGGAAGGCAACTTCCCTTTTCATCTACAATCTTCATTTACCTTTCTGCATGGAAAGAGGAATAGGATTACTAAGATTAGGAGAAATAACTGAGCTTGAATCACTCTCATTTGGAGCAGCACCATTTAAGTGTAATTTCTCTCAGTGGCATGCTTAATAAGCAAAACTCTGCCTCTTTCTATAAGGAGAAGTCCTGGAGATAAGAATGAGATAATTTAATCTGGCGGGGGGGCGGGGAGGGGGGGGAAGTAATGGGAATGTGATTATTCACAGGTTAACCCAAGTTCTCAAATTCTGCATTGCTAGTAATAAGGCTGATAGAGTGATCAGAATGATTCTTGAATATATATTTTTTTCAGTTAGTTCAGGACCTCAGAGAAAGAAATGATGAATTACCATACCTTAAAACCCGAACAAATTTTCTGGGAACTAAAGAAACAAAGAAAATAAATACCTGTGGCTATTGGATAAGGACAGTAGCCAAACGGCTGTGTCTGCTGCTCTGTATAGAAATATATTACCAGAAATATATACCAGGAAGGGTCAGTGGCTTTGCATTTATGAATCAGGTGTGGGGGCTCTCAAAGAAAAAGAACTGATTGAGGTTTACCATCTGAGGTCATATGCCTAATGGTGGACTTCCATAGGAGTCTGAGAGACCTGAGATATACCCATGAAAGATATATCCTTCAAAGGCAAAAGCAAATAGTAGTCAAAGAAGAAAGTGTGAGTTATTTTAGCCAATTGGTGAAGTTTGTGAATCACAGTCTATCATTAATTAATGCAGATTATCAAGTGTGCAAAGCATGGACAGGAAAGATGTCTTAGCCTTCCTGTCTCCAGAGAGGTATCTGAAATTCATGTCTGAAGTACAACTCAAGTAGATGCTAATAGAGATGGAGAAAATATCAGCAGAAGCAGTGTCAGTGAGGGATAAATGACTTGCTTTTGAAACTGTAAGTTTATAATGCTAGAAAGGATGACCAGCCAAGATTAGAATTTAGGGACTCCAGGGTCAGCAATACAACTTGCCTGTGGTGCTTTACCTGAGACTGACAGCTCTGTGTTATCCTCATGGAGGAGGGACTGGTCATTAAATAAGAATCACCCCAGTGATAACTACACTCTAGTTAGCCACCTATGTGCCTAAGTTAACCAGTAACTTACCAAAGATTGTTTCAATAATTCTAAAATCATTCTCATTTCCAAAGCCTCAAGCTAAATAAGCTGCCATTGTTAATATAAAACACCTGAACCGGGTGAATATTATGTGTCTGCGTACTTGCTGTCTGGCACAGAGTTCTCTTAAAGGAATTTATCAGATGACTAGAAACATTTACCCAGATCACTCGTTAACACAAACATTTGTCTCTTAATGGGCATTTGAACAAGGCTTGAGCCTAAATGAAAAACTACCCAGCATGCCAATTTAGCATAATTATGTAAAGTCTCATTAAATTTCAGCTGGTCAGCTCCATTTTCATTTTACTTTGCTCTTTCATATGACACAACTTCTTTATTTATAAGGCTAATGTCTATCAACTAGCTAGAGCCTGAAAACCCATTAAATTGGCATATTATGCTTATGTTAACATTTCTTTTCACAACCTAATGATTTATTAATTTAGCACTCATCTTTAAAGGGTTTTAGTGAACCCAGAGTGTGTTTTGCCTTGGGAACAAAAACTCAATTTATCACTCTGTCAGTCTTAGGAAATATTATTTTGAGGTATAAACTATCTCTAATGAAATGGAAAGCTACATGTTGAAATAATCTATAAACTAGAGAGATAATATCCTAGTCAAAAGACAGGATCTTTTAATTGGCACACCTGAATAGACATCATCACGAGCTATCTATGTATATATCTAATTATGGACACAGGAACATTATATACAAACCCAAATACACAGTCACATCCTTCTACAGAGACAAGAATGGCAGAAACCTAAGAGCATGTTACATCAGATTAAATGAATTCCCAAGGAATATTATTGAAATTTTACTACTCACCATCAAATTCTGCTGGTCCAACACCAACTATAATTATTGACATTGGAAGTTTTGAGGCCTTCAAAGAGAAAACACAATTAGGTTTCAATTAAGAAACTGAGTTCTTAAGAAAATAATGAAAGACCAGGAATGATATCTCACACTTGAAATCCCAGCACATTGGGAGGTGAAAGAAGGAGTATTGCTTGAGGCTAGGAGTTTGAGACCAGCCTGGGCAACATAGCGAGACCTCATCTACACCAAAAAATAATTAGCCAGGTGTGGTGGTGTGTGCCTGAAGTCCTAGCTACTTGGAAGTCTGAGGGGGGTGGATCACCTGGGCCTAGGAGTTCAAGGCTGCAGTGAGCTATTATCATGTCACTGCACTCCAGCCTGGGCAACAGGCTGTCTAAAAAACAAAATTAAAAAAAGAAAAAATAATAAGTAAGAAGCAAATATAGCCAGAGTTTTATTTAATATTTTTTTCACAGATGTTCATTAAAATAATTTGTGAACATATTCAAAATTGTTAATACAGAATAATACACTCAATTCCATTCTTATCCTTTCCAAACTCTCTGCACACATTAATACAGTGGGACATTCTTCGGAAATGACCAGCCCTGGGTAAGATCAAATAGAAGGTAAGGAGCATCTACTTCCACTTGCTACTCTCAGACAAAACCTTTCTAAGCTGACTTTGGGTATCTTTGTCCTCTTTTCATGTTCTTTCTCCTCAAAAAATCTTTCAGTTGCTAAAGGGGAAAGTGGTATCAGATTCATAAAATAGTAGTATTACTATAATCTACCTCATTTATACCCAAGGTTAGAAAAAACAATTTTCACAGTAAATGAGTGAACACAAATGATCATTACAGAAAGTTAATACTGTTATGCACTAAATATCTTTGAGGATTTTGAGGGAGACTAAATATTTCATGTTATAACATGTTTTTTCCATATAACATATCATATATCATCACTTAAATAATTTAATAGTAAGAATGTGAGATTGATCCAGCAACAGATAGATAGAACACTAGAGCAACCACATCTTTCGCTATGAAGGTCACTGAAATATGACTAATTATTCCTCAGGGCCTCATGCCTTCTTAGTTAAACCTAAATTACTAAGTCCATATTTTAAAGTGCATATTAATGAAATTCATTCCTGCAGCCTGTATTTATCAAATGTCCACTTCGTGCCAAACATTGCTAAACTTAGAGACTAGAGAGTAAAAACTATTACTTTACAGATTACCATATAGTAAATATAGATTTTATAGATTAGTAAATGATCAAATAACCCTAAAAAAACAAACATACAATTAAGAATTATAATCAGCAGGATGGTTTTTTAATCAATCAGTCACTATCCAGTTCTACAGAAATAGCAATTAGCTATCATAGTTCTCCTCTAACTGGAATGCAAATGTTAAGAAATGACCAGTATAAATCACAAGATTGTATACAAATAGATCAAACTAATAGAGGCAAACACACCCATGCCTGTGAAAATTATGCTATTATCTTTGTTTTTTTCTTTCGGCAAGAATTTTTTTTAACTAAAATATTCATACCCCTTAGCTTGATCCCCATGGAACAGTGGTAAGATGTATATGCATTGTCTGGATAAGGTTAAGGACGCAATATGCTGAAAAGGTGTGGTGATTTTATTTTATCGTTAACTAAAATAGACTCCAGTCTCTCTCTAAGTAGCACCATGTTGTCATGTAGCCAGTCCAATAGGGAGTGACCCCCACTTACATTAACTATGGACTCCTTAGTCTGGGCCATATCTGAGATAACACCATCTGTAACAATCAGAAGCACAAAATACTGGGAGCCATCCTTTACAGAAGAAGCGTATCTGAAAGGCAACGAAAAGGTAAGGAAAGTAAAACAGTTTTCTATACGTGATAGTTGGCAAATACAATTTGGAATAGTTAACAAACATTTTAATCTCAATAAAATATTTGAACACGTTAGAGGTGTATCTTATGCAAACTTTCAAATTCTCAATTATCTGAAATAACACACTAGAATAATCGCAATGTTAGTGCATGCTGCCACACAGAAATATCTGGTTGCCTTAGAAGTTCATTTACTAATAAAAGATGTGCTAGATGAGTGGCTATTTAGTACAAAGGAATGGGCGTAGCTTTTGGAAATAGATTTATCCTGACTAAGCAACACATTATGTAAGTGATCTTCAGTAAATTACCTAAGCTATGTGAACGTTATTTTATTAGCTTTAAAATTGAGATAATAACACTTACATCTTTATATTGCTGCATGAATTAATAAAGGATTGCATGTATGGTACTCAATATAAGCATTGTATAAATGATAGCAATAATCAAATGCTTTTGGTTTTTTAACTACATAGAGGTGATGATTGCAACATTACAAATGTACTAAATGTCATTGAATGGTACACTTTTAAATGGTGAATTTTATTATGAAAATTTCACCTCAATAAAATTACACAATAGAAGAAATATTTTTGACACATTCACAGTCAAGTCTTAATATATGTTAAATCTATGAAAGATGACATGGAGAGTTATTTCAAAGCACAAAATTATGTATATGATAACAACATATTCCAGTACTTGAAGTTTGTCAGAATTCTCATCAAATAATACTCAGTAATTTGGAGGTGAATTTTATTAACATGTTACATTTCATTATATTTCTCTTTTCCTCTAGTTTTCTACATTCTAGGTATCTAGATTATATTCTCAATAGAGTTAATTTTTATGATTTTTGCACCTGACTGGCATGCAATTCATGTCTGGTGCTAAGTAAGCATTATGGTTCTCTTAGGAGATAGGATAGTAAAGAAAACCTTGATCTGTATTTCTAAAAGTTACCAAGTAAAAACTCCCTTACAACCTAAAGGATTAACAAAAATTCCTTTACAATCTCTAGGAGCGCAGTGAATCCCATTTGAACAAGCTGGTGACAAACAAGTAGTATAAAACATATGTCAGGGCACAACTTATTTCTTGGGCAGCAGAATTTAAAAACATATAAAGAAGAAAAATACGACTTTCCCCACGGACTACAGATACTAAGATTTGTCCATGCCACTAATAAAATACTGGTAATTTTAAAGATTGATAAAGTAAGTATAGTAAGTGGCATGTTCATCACACCCTGTAAGCAGGATGTTGAACAGGTTCCACAATGTACTACAGAATGAAAAATATTGTCATAATGCTGAACAATTGATCCTGGACATTAAAGAATATGTGTTAATTTATAGTAACACAACCATTGGAAAACCGTCCAAAGCAGTTATAAACCTATTCTCCCATTCCATGTTTAACTTTTTTTGTTTTAAAGAAAAGAAGTCTAACAATTTTCCCCAAGATCTCAATTTTTAATTTTTAAATATCCATTATTTTTTAAGAAAGCATTTCTTACTATGATTCAGAAACACAGGGTTTTATATTTCATGAGAATAATGGAAGACTAAAAATAGTAGTGAAAACCTTAAGTACAACAGTATGGCTTTCATGCTTTTCTTACCAAATGGTACTCTTAAAATGTAAAATATCTATCAGATTAAAGAAAAATACAGACAGCTGACTACTATGCAGTCATATAAAATACCGCTTCCAGTGGCTTAACTGATTTTCTTTGGATACACCAGAATGTATATCTAAGAAAAGGGCAAGAATATATTAACACTATAAGAGAGTTATAGATACAGCCTAAAGCAGATGACAGTACACTTGGAATTTCTCTGAAGTTTGTATTATCTTAAAAATTCATGGAAATTTTACACTTTATTTTATGATAAATATATGCTTGTATTAATATTTTATATCTCTTAACTTTGAAAAACATTAAGGCTGTAGAAAGATACGTGAGTTTATTGTGTGACTGTCACTACTGCTAGGCATACTTAATTTGAAAATCAATTACATTTTACTTTTAAGTGCTGTCCAATCCATTTTAGTCTTTATCACCTTCAGCACCACAAATTAATCTTTTAAAACCAGTTGTTACTTTTATGGCACTTGTTCTACATGTTGGCACATTGTTGCAATTTGCAAGTAAACCTAAATTTCAAAAAAAATCAATGTATTACCATTTATTCTATTTAGCCTTTTATTTTAAAGTACTACCATTTATTCTAATTTAGTTATTATTTTGAAAATATTATATATTTAAGATAAAATAATTAACATGCTACAGAAATGGATGAAGTAAAAAGTATAAGCTGGCCACACCTCAGTACTTTTTCTAGGAGGTGACACTGATATATAGCCTCACAGATTCAAATTATATTTTAAAGGTATTAGAGAAGCTTGCTTCTTAAAAGAACTTGATGGGGAATCTTTTTATAAATTGCATAATTAAGTCTTATTATTAAAAGTCAGTTGCCTTTTTTGAAATATAGCCTATCTATAATTTATATCTTAATATTACTATGATATATCTGAGAGAGAGGTTAACTTTGCACAATTCAAACACATTTCTTTTGCATTTCTTTGAAAGAAGTTTCTGGGATTGTTTCTGTAAAAGTTCATATCTGGTTGGCTCAGATTCAGGGAATATTCTTTTAGCTTATTATTAGTTCATAAGAATAGAGAGGGCAAGAAGACAAGATAAGAAACTGACTTAGGGATTTTTTGTTTAAGTCGTTCAATTATGATTTGCACAATGGATTAAAACTTAACAATGAATAAAGGAATACATTTAAATATTTCAACACAAAGTAGCAGAGTAAATTTTGTTACCAAGAGTCACCCCTAAAATACTTTTGACTGGGCAATGAAGAGAACACTGTATCCACATAGATAGGTAGCTTTGTTGCATTTTCTTTTGTGTGTCTACCTCTGTAGCAGAGATAAAAAGACTTAAAGATGTAAGGCATCATAACATAGTGATCTGGAGTCAGCTTATTCTGGTTTGAATTTTAACTCCACCACAAATGACCACTCTATGTATCTATTTTATCATCGGCAAAATGCAAATGACACTACTGTCACCTCTTAGAGTTGTTGTGAAGAGGAATAGATAATCCATATTATAGCACTGAACATGTTGCTAGAGATAGATCATGGGCTCCATAAGAACTGTTGACTGCACAGATTGAATAAATAAAGCATAATATATTATTTAATTTGAAAATTAGTTATGAGAATTCCAAAATAAAAAGTTATTTCCTAAAAAATGAAAATTCATTTTGGATAGTTATCTGGATTTTAGAAGGTTCTCAATATAAGAAAAAACAGAAAAAATTCAAATAGCCAAAAGACAGAAACTGATAGATCCCCTTTAAAAATTGCAATGTGACAGCCTCAAAACCAGTAACTCATTAGGCACAGAAAACAAAAGACTAACAGGAAATAATGAGTATATTTAAATCAAGTGAAATGTTCATAATAATCTGAAAAGATACTTGAAATTTTCACTAGTATATTAGTTTATTTTTGAAATATTAAGCTGGTATAATATACCAACACATTAAATTTATTTCAAATTACTTAAAATTATTGAAGAAGAATTCTAGATAAATAGAAATTTTTAAAACTGTTAACAGGAATGTAAAAATAGTTCACACTACATACAAGAGGAAACAGATTAATCAGGGGATGCTTAAAACTCCATTTTGTTCAAATCGCATTCCACAAAAAACATTATTTTAAAATATTTTTATTTCTATTGTGATTAATAATAAAATTTAAACATAGTGTTTTAGACATCAGACACAGTATTAAGTTCATATCTGAAAGGCCCTAAAATTATTTCTCAGAATTTAAATTTGTTGTCAATTTACAACATAATGGCAATATATTTCTTTGTTTTGGTAAGTAGGATGATGATGCTTATGTGTCAACTAGACTATAAAACCCACTTATTTAATCAAAGATCGTAGATATGGTTAACATCTACCATCAAATGATTTTAGGTAAAGGATTTTCATCCAATTAGTTGAAGGCCTTAAGAGCAAAAACTGGTTTCCCAGAAAAAAAGGAATACTCACATAACGCTGCAGTATGAAATCGTACCTGAGTTTCCAATCTACCAACCTGTCCTACAAATTACATTCTTGCTATCCCTTACAATTGCGTGAGACAATTCCTTAAAAAGTATCTCGGCCGGGTGCGGTGGCTCAAGCCTGTAATCCCAGCACTTTGGGAGGCCGAGACGGGCGGATCACGAGGTCAGGAGATCGAGACCATCCTGGCTAACACGGTGAAACCCCTTCTCTACTAAAAAAATACAAAAAAACTAGCCGGGCGAGGTGGCGGGCGCCTGTAGTCCCAGCTACTGAGGAGGCTGAGGCAGGAGAATGGCGTAAACCCGGGAGGCGGAGCTTGCAGTGAGCTGAGATCCGGCCACTGCACTCCAGCCTGGGCGACAGAGTGAGACTCCGTCTCAAAAAAAAAAAAAAAAGTATCTCTATATTTTATCTATGTCCATGTCTATATGTCTCCTATTGGTTCTGTTCTCTGGAGAACCCTGACTGATACAGTAGGTGTTAATCACAATCACATTTCCACAGGTCATTAAGATTGGGTAAGCACTATCATTTAAAAGAGTATTTAGGCTGGGCCCAGTCGCTCATGCCAGTAATCCCAGCACTTTGGGAGGCTGAGGCGGGTGGATCACTTGAGCCAGGAGTTGGAGACCAGCTTGGCCAACATGGTGAAACCCTGTCTCTTCTAAAAATACAAAAATTACCCGGGTGTGGTGGCACATGCCTGTAATCCCAGTTACTTGGGAGGCTGAGGCACAAGAATCGCTTGCGCCCGGGAGGTGGAGGTTGCAGTGAGCTGAGATTGCATCACTGCACTCCAGCCAGGGTGATAGAGAGAGATTCTGTCTGAAAACCAAAAAGGTTCTTTAGTTTCCTATCATAACTTTGTTAATTAAAATGAACTTGGCCAGGCGCAATGGCTTACGCCTATAATCCCAACACTTGAGGGGGCTGAGGCGAGCGGATCATCTGAGGTCAAGAGTTCGAGACTAGACTGGCCAACATGGCGAAATCCCGTCTCTACTACACAAAAATTAGCCAGCCATGGTGGCGGGCACCTGTAATCCCAGCTACTTCGGAGGCTGAGGTAGGAGAATTGCTTGAACCCAGGAGGCAGAGGTTGCGGTAAGCCGAGATCATGCTACTGCACTTCAGCCTGGGTGACAGAGCAAACAAACAAACAAAGCCTCATATGGTATTCAGATAATTTAATTAAGCAAACACGTACAGATATCTCAGTATATCCAAAGTACTGTGGTTTATATTTTTATATGTATATATGTGCATGTATATGAACGTCACAATGAATAATTCTTCCCTTCAATGTGGTAAAGATCTACATGTAACCACAGAGTAGTATCAAATTAGTAATAGACATATGCATGGAATGGTATCATAGACCAGAAGAAGCAGAGATTCTCTGTGATTGAAGAGCAGTACATTTGGGAGAATGTGGGAATGAGGTTGGATGGGTGAGTGCTGGTTGTTGAATACTGGATGTTCTTGAATGCCAAGCTAAACCGTCTGCACTTAAATGTATGACAAGGCATCAACAGATGTTGAGTAGGACTTTACATCATTTGAAATGCTGTTCCCAAGACAGCTCTGGAAAAGGAGGACTGGAAAGGCAAGAAATCAGAAGCAGGGGCTGAAAGCCTCAAAAAAAGCATATAAAACCTTCAATTATTGTAAATTTGACACTTTGAGTCTTGTCTGTTTTACAATATTGTTCTCTCATTAATATTACCTAGAAAGTCAAACAGATCAGAGATACATATATGAATCCTAAAAATAAACATGTGCTTAAAATCGTTATTCTTAAAAAGAATAAGCATTCTTTAAAATGCTTATAGAATTGACAATTGTCAAATAAATGACAATAAAAAACTGAGCTTTTACCCACATAGAAAACATACTTTTTAAGGAAAAAAGTATCAAGCCAATAAAAAAGTATGAATATATAGTTTTGACATTGCTAAAAATAATTTTTAATGATAATATATTAACATATACAGAATTTGTTTTTTAGATATTTGTTGAATACTTACCTCCTACATAATGGGTATGATGCTAAGTACTGTTGATAAGCATTTAAGAGTTATAGAAAGCAAAAATGTTATATAAATAGAGGTCACACACCACTATAACTACGGCGTTTCTCTTAATAGAGGAAAAAATAGTACCTCGTCTACTTAGTTGTTAAGGTTTTTGAATGATAATTTTGGGTGAGACAGAAATTGTCTTTCTCAATAAAAGCTTAAAAATACAATTAAACATAAAATTCAAAGATGAAAGGATAAAAGCATTCCTTCTGTAGACTTATACTAAGAAATGTATACATGGAACTTCCTATTGTATTGGAAGGAAAAGATGACTCTTAAATAGCCATCTCTTACTGATTTTCTTAATTTTCTCATGTAAAAAATAATAAATTATTAGATCATAGCTTATTTTCAAGGAGTCTGAGAGCTTTCACTAGCAGCTGCTCCTATATTCGAGAAGTTACAAAATGATGGATAAAACAAAAAATCCCAATAGAACACTGTGGGGCCTTTAATTTTAAATATATATAGAAAAGTACCTAGATATTTTATATCTATCATTTTAACTTTTATTATATGTACATACCAGGAAAAAATATGAAATTACTTGGGAAGCATTGATGAGCACATTTCTCATAACCAACATGAGTTCACACAACACAAGTCCTGTCATTTTTCTCTTATCTTTTTATAAAAAAGTGATCTGCAGGGTAGTGTGGCCATCAATTATATTTTATCTTGTATTAGCATGGTATTATATTCTGCTTTATTTGACAGCCATCAAGAGACAGTATATATGACATTACTTACATTGGCTAGTATAATAAGCTAGGATATGTTTTTCAGATTGCAAGTAATGACCCATTAATGGATTGTGAGATCAATTTTGGGAGCCAAGATTGTATTAAAAAAAGAGAAATAGAAAAGAACAGGTGCCAGAGAAATAAAGGTAAAATAGGTAAGACTAAGTACCATTTTTTGTGGGGTTGTATGTGTACAGGGTTAAGATGTATTAATAAAATTCATATTTTAGTAGAGATTGCAGATGATTTTGTCTGAAAAATTCAAGCTGAAGGGTCACACTCAGAGAACAGTCATCAATGTATCACTGTCAACCTTAGTCGGAGTTCCACAGGGAAGTTGCACTGGGGTCAGCCCTGGGTGCAAGGGATATTTTAGCATTTTGTCCATGTCCCAGATAATGAAAAGTAGAACACACTGAAACTGCCAGTAATATTCATTAGGGAAAGTGGTAAAGTACTAGAACCTTCAGAGAACTGGGGTTTCACATTACCTTTGTACTTGATAAACTGACCAAAATACAGAATTTTTTTCAAGTTCTGGCTACATGTTTTAAAGGATATGCAATTTCTAATTATCTCAAAATAAGTCAGGGTGTCATAGGATTTACATAGGCCAAACTTTCTAGGGATTTAAATAGTGTTGTCTAATTCATTTATGCATTAATGAAAAATGATAAGTATATATAGATTTATTTTTTACATTTTAACATTTTCTTCAGAACATGTACCTGGAGTAATAAGCAATTATATTCTGATTTCAGTACTATGTACTATACACAGGTAGAGCTCTGGGAATTTATAAATTAGCTACTATATTAATTTCAGAGAAGTTAAAATAATGTGCCCTATATATCACCGAATGCTTCAAGTAGTCATCTAATAGAATTCAGTCTCTTATTACTTCTATGCTACTTATTACTACTATGGAATGTGATACTAAATAAGAATGATTTACACAGTTTACATCACCACTGATCTTGTTATTTTCTTCATGGATGCCTTTTCCTAAGAAAACATTTTCCTTAGTTGAACAAAGATAGTTCCTAACATAACCCAGCAAATGTTTCTTGAGATTTTAATGTACAGTTCTCAGCAAAGTATCATGATCATTTGATAGAGACTCTTTCTAAGGTACATTTTTTCCTCACTTTCTTGGAGGTAAATTAGAAGAAAACAACTTTCATGTGTGGAGTCATACTAGCAACAATGTTACGAGTTCACCATGTTCCAGTACATCAGATAAGCCCCTTGTCTACTCTCTACTTACCTTGCTACATGATTAATTACAGGAGCAAAGTTGGTGGGCCCATATAGTTGTACAGATTTCAGACTCCTGTAATAAGCCTCCATGACCCCCTCAATGCCATCACAATAGGGGTTTTGAGGGTTCCCATTCTGTAGAAATTCATAGGCAAAACAAAACAACAGTAAAAAAGTAAATCTCCGTGAAGATCAATTAAAAAAGACAAGAGAATAATACACATTGACAATCATAAATATTTTTTGGAAGAGCGCTTATTTATAAATTTACAATAGCAAAACAATAATACATTAGGTGATCAACAATAGATTATGATATATTATGCAGATCATAATATGATATGTGCAGTCATTAAAAATCTATACCCTTCAAAAAATGGCAGAAGAAAAATTTAAATAAGAGAAGCTGAACACCACAACACTTTAAAATTAATAGTATCTTAATTTACACAGGTTTGTGTACATGTGGAGATAAACATATAGAAATCCTAAAAAGAAGAAAACCAATGTATTAATAGTGGCTACCTCTGGGTGGTTAGATAACTGATAACTTTCCTTTCGTCCTTTAACCTATTCGCTATTTTTCCAATTTTTCTGTAGTGAACATGTATTAAAATTAGAAAAAATAAATGTTATCAATTCAAACAGTTTTACCTGATAGCAGGAAAAATGTAAAATATCTGCCACATGAACATTTTCAGGCCACAACTGATAACTCCAAGTAGAGAAGGTGTCAGAGGGAATATAATTTGGTGTGGGAAACATCAAGACAAGGCAAAAGAAAGGAATAAAAAAACAACCCAGGTCATTCAAGGGAAACGGAGCTTGCTGTTAAGAAGCTCTTACTCTGGGAACAGCGCCCAGAAAGGCAACTTTAACCCAAGCTCTTGTTCTGGGGACAGGACCTGAGGCAACTTTAACCCTGAACATCTAGGCTGGCTTTTTCATACCTTAAATGCTCTGTCATTATTAGGTTTAATTTTCCTAGTCCAAATTATACAAATAACACAAGACCATGTATTAGTTATCTATTGCTATGTAACAAATTACCCCCAAAGTTATACCCTATGTATAGTGGCTTGAAGCAATGAACATTTGTTATCTCATACATTTTTGAAGTCTCAGGAATCCAGAAGCAGCTTAGCAGGGTGGTTCCTGAGCAGGATCTCTCATGAGGTTGCAGTGAAGATGCCGACCTGGGCTGAAGTCATCTGAAAGCTTGACAGTGGACAGAAAGATCTATTTCCAAAAAGGCTCACTTACATGGCTGTTGGCAGGAGGCCAGATGGACTCTCCACAGGGTTGCTTGAGTGTTCTCATAACATGGAAGCTAACTTTCCCCAGATTGAGTGATCCCAGAGAAAGAGCAAGGACAAAGCCCCAATGTCTTTTATGAGCCAGTCTCAGAAGTTACATATCATTACTCCTACTTTAATCCATTTGCTAGAAATGAGTTACTAAGTCTAGTTCACACTTGAGAAAAAGGAGATAGCCTCCACTTCTCAAAGGGGAATATCTAAAATTGTGTACATATATTTTTTATCCACTAGTGATAGTCACTACTTTTAAATAGGGTTAGCAATAATTTTAGCATACATGTTTTTACCTGAACAATCACAAGTAACTGGTAATTTATAACTAAAATTTGTTGAATTCTATATACCAAGTTTTATACTAAAATATTTACATATAACTTTCATAACCCTAAAATTGTAGGACAGTCATTAACCCCACTTTATAAAGAAACCAAGGTAATGAAAATGTTGATACTATACCCAAGGTCACGCAACACAAATAGGAGAGCTAAGATTTAAACCAGGCAGTCTAACTCCAGAGTTCAATTTCTTAAACACTATTATGCTACAAAATTATGAAATGCCAAGCTTTTTTACATTTTCTTTCTTTTCTTTTTTTTTTTTTTGTATGTGTTTGTGTGTGTGAGATGGAGTCTTGCTCTGTTGCCCAGGCTGGAGTGTAATGGCCAGATCTCTGTTCACTGCAACCTCTGCCTCCTGGGTTCCAGGGATTCACCTGTCTCAGCCTTCCGAGTAGCTGAGATTACAGGCATGCACTACCAGACCCAGCTAATTTTTGTATTTTTAGTAGAGACGGGGTTTTGCCATGTTGACCAGGCTGGTCTCGAACTGACCTCAGGTGATCCACCCGGCTCAGCCTCCCAAAGTGCTGGCATTACAGGTGTGAGCCACCCCACCTGGCCAAAATGCCAAGATTTCTACAAGGCTGGGGATCTTAGGAAACTGGGTCAAATGTTACCAACTACTTCAATTTTATCATTCGTGAGAGAGGGATATATATCCACTTTTTTCTTTTAATTTTGTCTTTTCTTCAAACATTTTTATTAACCCTCATACATTTTTGAAAGCATAAAAATAAAAGCCTTCTTTACATTATAAAACTGGTTGAATGACTTGGCTGAAAATAGAATAAAAAGATAAGTTTAATATTTAGCACAAAGCAGTTAGTGTTCTGATGTTCATCTGAGCCGACCTAGTTCACATTCCTTTAAGATTCTGTGGTGCTCTTTTCCCCTGATAAGGTATTAAGCTAATTAAAATTAAAGTTCATTACTGATTTTGGGCATATAAAAATGTATTATATATCTACCTTAAAGGAACAGTTACAAACTAGGGTAGTCCTGAGCTACTTTTATTTTTTAACATGTTGATTGGAGGTTTACATTTTGATGAAACTGTATGTTACCACTATTTCTCTGGAATTGAAACTATAAGGTCACCATTCTTCTCTTCTTTGATAATGTAAAGGTAATCATTAGATGTTCTATTCATCATCATGGAATGTTTAATGATTTCTGAATTAGTTCCAATGCCATAATAAGTTGCTCTAAGGTTCCCTCATACGTCTTAGATGATAAGAATATCTTACCACATAAAATTATGACTTCTTTTTAGCATATGCTCTGGATTACATCAGGATTATTTTAAATATTTTACAGCTACTAAAATGAGATTTTCTTCTTAATGAGAAAGTTGTAATGAGTTATAAAAAGAGTTTTAAGACTGTTACTTGCACACACATGTTTTTAGCAACACAATTTGCAATTGCAAAAATATGGAACCAGCCTAAATGCCCACCAACCAATAAGTGGATAAATAAAATGTGATACACACACACACACCCACCATGCAATTCCACTCAGCCAAGAAAAGGAATAGAATAATGGAATTCACAGCAAGCTGGATGGAGTTGGAGACCATTATTCTAAGTGAAGTAACTCAGGAATAGAAAACCAAATATTGTCTGTTCTCACTTACAAGTGGGAGCTAAGCTATGAAGATGCAAAGGCATAAGAATGATATAATGGACTTGGAGGCTGGTGGGGAAAGGTGGGAGGAGGGTGAAGGATAACACCGTGACCACTGCTCAGGTGATGGGTACATCAGAATCTCAGAAATCACCACTAAAGAACTTATCCATGTAATCAAAAACCACCTGTTCCCCCAAAACTATTGAAATAAATAAAAATATTTTAAATGTGTTTAAAAACTCATTTCTTGAAGTAATTATGCAGGGAATCAGTTATTTCTTGTTAAAACAAATTAGAATAAGTCCAGGTGTGGCTCTGACACAAAAGTAAAACATAGGATTTTTTTTTTTTAAATAAGCACATTTAATTTTGTTGTTTATTAATGAAGAAGGCAAAAGACGCCCTATTTCACATTTCAACAACCTAACTAACCTTTCCATTTATAAAAAATAATACATGTTAACTTGTAGAACACATAGAAAAGCATAAAGATCAGACTTTAAAATGATCAGTAATCTCACCACTCAGACTTAAGTGTGGAGGGGTGTCCAGCTCTACCTATTTTTCCTCCCGTTTAGCTCCCTCAGGGATTGTGCTGAGAGTGTGGACTCAGCTCCATGCAAGAAGCCTGTCATTTCTGTTGCCGCCTGCAGCCTTTGACACTTTTCAGCAGGGCTAACAAGCTGACAAAATACTGAAAAGAAGCTCTTAGGGGCTGTTGCTCTACTCTGAAATGTGACTGTTGCTTACTGTGGGAAAAAGCTGAGAGAATTCTTCCTTTTATTCGATAAACAAACACCTATTGAGCTTCTGTTTATATGCAATACAGTGTTAAAGACTCTTGGTTATTAAATTGCTGATGCCTACTTGGCAAAAAAAAAATACATACACATAAATATTAAATTGCATACATTTGTATAAATGCCAAAATAAGTGAAAAGCATGCAAGTGCATTTAGGTATTTCCCAGGAGAAATCACCTGGACAGGTGTAGCGTTTCTCTGTTGGTCCACATGGAAGACCTTCTTGTAAGGACCACCGGCCACAAGCTCATTAGAAATACCTCTACCAGAACTCCGCACTACTGTGTTTTCAGTTATGACCCCAAAAGGAGTCATCAAGAATTATAATGAGAGGAGAGCAATGACCCATTCTTTTCATAACCATAAGTCTTGAAATGGTAATACTAGGAAATTCTTCCTTTCCTTTCCCATTCCTTTTTCTTTTCCCATAGTATGTCTCACATAAAAAGCTGGGATTTACTGAGACCTTTTCAAATGAGTAAAGCTTAAGTTCAACATCTGTGCCAGCAAAACTTACACGTTGGCGGGTAATTTAAGTTGTTAAGAAGACTCCCTTGCTATCCAAAAGAATTATGTGAATTTGGTGAGATAAACAGGTTAATGTTAGAGAATATATATCACAAATTCATGCCATGGAAACGTGAGGGTTTATTAACACCAGGTAGTTCATGAAAGGCCAGACTGTCATGAAACTGAACTTTTTGTATTTGTCATTTTCTGTACCTAGACAATAGATACTGCAGTGATTTAAGATGAGCTTAACACAGAATATTTCAGCAAGAATCAAATCAAATACTATCTCACTGACAACCTACTTAACCCATATCTGCCTTATTTATCCAACAAAACAGAAGTGCTTTGAAAAAAATTAGAGTAATATAATCATATGGTAATACTAAAGTTGAGGCATTATCATCAACACAATCATTGTTTTCATCATCAATTTGAGAGACTACTTTTCATAGATTTAAAGGGGTATGATCTCTATTCCATAAATGTTCAAATTGGGCTCAAAGAACAGATTATGGTGTAAATAACAAAAAATATGTATCATTCCTTAGCAGTAGATATTTGTATAGTTTTGGTTACAAGGGGTAAATGTGGAGGTAGGAAAAGCAGAAAAGGAGAAGGAAAAAGGAAAAAAAAATACACACTAGTGGAGGAAGAAATGTATGGAAAGAAAATTAATAAACCTCTCATTTAGCTTAACACAATTACTCCTTTTCTTAGGCATTAAAATAGCTCCTGACCTTTTTCCTGAGGCACTTCAGACTTAGAATCACATGAGTGATTTTCATGGTTTTATAAGTTTCTCGGAGATTTTAATTTTCTAAGACACAACAAAATCCCAACAGATACTCATTTTTATGACACTTGGAGTTTGGCATGTGGCCTATTTCATGGAAGAAAGAATTAAGCCCTCCAGCAACCTCTCCTGAAATCGTGTGGGTGATGGAATAGAAAAGTAAGAATAAATACAAAAATAAAAGTGTAGTTCTCCTCTTAAAACATTTGAGAAAGATGAAATCTTATATAAAAAGTTATATAAAGATACATATATCATGGTGTTAATATAAGCATATATCCAAGAGGTGAGATTACAGGTGCTTTTATAAGATGGGGTTTAGCTGTAGTTAAAAGCATGAATTCTAAAATAAGACTGACCTGGGTTCAAGTCCTGTCCTTTGGGACAATGGTCAACTTCTGAGCCTCTCAGTTGAATTATACAACTCCTTGGTGAACTTTTCTCACCACAGGTAATGAGATTGGCAGTTTCTAGAGCAGTGCAATGCGTCAGCATGAAGTATCTACCACATAGGAATTTTATGAAGATTATATAAGATAATGAGTATAAAGTATGTGACTCGATACTCAGTAAATACTCAGCATTGAGTCAAATACCATTTCACTGAAAACCTACTTCACCCTTGTCTGTCTTATACAAGAAAACAAAAGTGCTTTGAAAATTTTAAAGTAATATAATCATTAGGGAATAATGAAGTTGAAACATTATCATCAACATAATCATTCTTATTTTCATCATCAATGTGGGAGACTATTTTTCATAGATTTAAAGAGGTCTGATCTCTCGTCTTATTCTGTTTGTGCTATAAGAGAACAGCTGGGATTGGGTAATTTATAAACAATAGAAATGTTCTCACAGTTTTGGAGGCTGGAAAGTCCAAGATCAAGAAGCCAGTAGGTTCAGTTGTCTGGTGAGGGCTGTATCCTCACATTGCAGAAGGTAGGACAAGCTGAGTAAAGCCTCTTTTATAAGGGCCTTAATTTCATTCATGAGGGCGAAGCCCTTGCAGACTAACTAGCTCTTAACGGCCTCACTTAATACTATTACATTAGCAGCACCTGAACTCTGGGAGGCCAGATTGAAACCACAGCAATATGGATCCTATATGTGTTTTAATTGGGCTCAAAGAACAAATTAATGCCGGGCACAATGGCTCACACCTGCAATCCCAGCACTTTGGGAGGCTGAGGCAAGCAAATTGCTTGAGCCCAGGAGTTTGAGACCAGCCTGGCCAATGCAGCGAAATCCCATCTCAACTAAAAATACAAAAAATAGCCAGGTGTTATGCATGCCTGCAATTCTAGCTACTTGGGAAGCTGAGGCACGAGAACTGCTTGAACCGGGGAGGCAGAGGTTGCAGTGAGTCGAGATCTCACTATTGCACTCCAGCCTGGGCAACAGAGCAAGGCTCTGTCTTAAAAAAAAAAAAAAAAATTAAGGCACAAATCCTTCCTTAACAGTACAGGTTGAGTATCCCGTACCTGAAACCAGGAGTGTTTCAGATTGTGAATTTCTTTCTTTGGATTTTAAAATATTTATATAATTACTAGTTGAGCTTCTCAAATCTGAATATCCAAAATCCAAATTGCTTCGATGAGTGTTTCCCTTCAGTATCTTGTTGAGTTCAAAAAGTTTCAGATTTTGGAATATTTACTTTTCTGATTTGGGAGGCTCAGCCAGTGTATATTTGTATAGGTTTGATTACAAGGAACGACCACAGAGGCAGGAAAGGCAGCAAAGGAGAGAATTACAGAGACAGAGAAAGGGAAAAATTCAAGGGTGAGAAGAAACATATGAAAGGAAAATTAATAAACCTCATTAAGTTTAACACAATTATTTCTTTTCTTAGATTTTAAAAATTATGGTACATTACAAATAGCCACACATTCTTTGATACTCCTCTCATTGAAAAGTGAAGGTTAATTCCTCTACCTTGAACCTGGGATGGTCTTAGTAACTTGCCTGACCAATAGGATGTTGCAGAAATAACATTTTGGTACTTCTAAGAATATGATATAAACATCCTTGGAGTTTCTGTCCTAGACTTTTAGATTACTCGCCCTGGAAAAGCTAGCTGCTACATAAGAAATCGTACTACAATGAGACCACTATACAGTTATGAAGCCCTCCATAACTACAGAGACAGGCCATATATAAAACAAGGGAGAGTTGTCCAGGCAACCCCAGTTTTTCAGCTATCCAAGCTCAGGCCCAAGACATGAATGAACATGAACAAAGAAGTCATGTTAGGAGACATATCAGCCCCAGAAGACATAACATGGAGAAGATCTAAGGAATTCAACAGCCAGCCAGAACTAAGTTGAAAAATGTGGCCCCAATCACCAATTCCAGGCATCTCTAGCCATTCAAGTCACCTAAGCTGAGACTCCAGATACTGCAAAGCAAAAATGCGCTATCTCTCATTATACTCTGCTTGAATTCCTGAGCCACAAATCATAAGCAGAATAGAATGACATTGTTTGGTATCTCCAAGTTTTAGGAAGGTTTGTTAGCAAGCAATAGATAATCAAAATAGACCCCCTATTTGTAAATCAGGTGGGTGCACTTCAGGTAGATTTATGGCTAAGCTATTTAGCTGTCCTTTTTCCCATTAAGTCCACACTCCAAAGTCGCTTACTTACCAAAATTAAGCTACAGTCAGAAAAGCTTGCTACATGACTGACTAAAGAATAAGCACCAAAGCAATATTAAAAGGTCTAACATTAATTTTTGAGAACATCAAATCCTTTTGACAAATTCTTACCAGTGCAAATTCGTGAGATATCCTTCCATCTGGAGGCAGTTTTGCACCAAAACCTAGAGCTGGAAACATTTTATCACTGTCATAATCTTGAACGATTTCTCCCACTGCTTTTAGTGCCATACCATAGGCATTCAGTTGGTAAGGATTCATGTAGTGGAGGGAAGTGGGCTGAGCAGGGTTGCCTGATGACAGAACACATATTTCAAACATATGCAATTAGGCTAAATACATTTAACAAGATTTTTCTTAGTGTCTATTTCAGAACGAAATATTCAAAATTATGTCTTTCTGCCTATATACAGTGTGTCAAATCATTTCTTTTTGGATGGATATTAACATAGAAATATTTGTTACATTATATTAGACATATAGAAAGTTCTAAGATATGCCAAAGCATATGCAGAATTTTTCAGAAATGATTCTTATTTTCAATGCCACAGGCTATTTTTGAGTTTTTGTTCCGGTAGTATAAAAGTACTTTTGTTAATCTTATTTTATTATAATCTTTAACTTTTAAACAAAATCATGCGCCTTTAGCTTGAATCCTTATGCCTATGGCAAGATGACCCAGTAGATTTAATGGACTTCAATAATTATGAAGGCTTTGTAATGTTTTATCACCAATATAAACTGAATATTTGAGAAATATCCCAATTTAGCACTTAAAAAAGGGAAGCATAGTGATTTTCAAGTGCAGGCTGATTAAATATCTAGATCTAAAAAATTCTTCACAACTTTTGAACTAGACATTAAGCTAGGAGCCAGAGGCCAGAGTCAAGTCTTGCCATTTGTACGGCAGCCTCTATAAAATACTACCACTGTGTTTACCAGGAGGACAAAATGAGATTACATGTTTAAAAGTGATTAAAAATAATACAGCACCATAGTATTGTAAGTTGAACTGCTACAGTTATTATGGTCTGGGTCATCCAGAAGGTTCTGAATTTCAAAGTGCTTATACTGTGTAGGATGTTGCACTTGAATAGCGATGAAATTGACAGAAAGTGTAATGTATTAATATGTGCTACCACTCAAACACATTGAGATTCACATCAAGTTGCCCTAATTACCAGCATAAAGGCAGCCTGAAAGTCAATTTGGTTTCTTAAGTGAAAATGGAAAGTTAAATGAGACTAGACTCCTAACAGCACATAAAGCTCAATTTTACATTAAAGCATTGCCTGAGGAAGAAAAGGCTCAGGGCATAGTTTTTCTGATAAGAAAAAAAAATAATAAAAAGCACTTGAGATCCAAAGAGAAACAAAATAAAGACCTCCCTTTGGGTTATCTGACAGGTAATTGTACATATAATATTTTTGTCCTAAAAACAATTAATTGCACTTTTTTTTTTTTTTTTTTTTTAAATATCTATTTCCAGGAGTTACCAGCATTCAGGGGCTGGCTCCACAGAACAAAATCACTAAAAAAGTATCTTCTGACCAAAATGGCCTAATGTTCCCCTCAACTTCACGAAACTTGTAGAAAGTTTCTTCTTGACTATAAGACCCTGATTGCTCTTTTCTTAGAGCTCTCACTTTAGAAAACTTGCAATTGTAAATTTTTCCTCTGCCCCTTTGAGATGTAAATCTTCTATAACCAAGGAGTATCTTTCTCAAGGACACGGAAGGCATTCCTTTGAAATATAAACATCAAGAAAAACAGCAGCCCTATCTTCCAGTCTCCGTGAGAAGATAGAAGCCTAACTTCAATAAGCACCAATTAGCAAACAGAGATGGCCTAAGCACACAAACCAAGTTCCGTGCTAATGTCCTCCAGGACTTTTCCAGTAGCTCACCTCAGCAAGCACAAACACTCCCACCTTTTGTTTTGGAGTAGATGAGTTCAATTTTTGTCTTCTATTGTAATAGTCCTGACTCCTTTGCAATGGTCTTAAAGCCTTTCTTGCCTTTTTAATGTGTCCAGTGTGATTTTTTCTTTGACACTTCCTCCTAAAGTAGGGACTTTGCCACTTGATCCACAGCCCAGCGGAATCAGAGATAAAAAATACCATTACTAAACTAAATGGTTATTTAACACAACTCTCATGCCTGAAATCCTAGCACTCTGGGAGGCTGAGGTGGGTGGATAGCTTGAGCCCAGGAGTTCGCAACCAGCCTGGCCAACATGGTGAAACCTTGCCTCTACAAAAAATACAAAAATCAGCTGGGTGTGGTGGCATATGCCTGTAGTCTCAGCTACTCAGGAAGCTGAGATGTGGGAGATCACTTGAGCCCGGGAGGTCAAGGGTTCAGTGAGCCCCTGATAGTGCCACTGTACTCCAGCCTGAGCAACAGAGCAAGGCCCTGTCTCAAAAACAAACATAAACAAACAAACAAACAAACACTTCTCCCAACTCTCAAAGTCGCAAATATAGAAGAGTTTTAACCCAATGGTGAGAGTATGGCAAATACTTTTACTTCACTATGAAAACTGTAAATAAAAAAATACAATTAATACCCCAGAACATATAAACATTTTAACCTATCATGCATAGCTGGGCCCCTTGTACCCATACAAAGATGTCACCTATCTCTTTCCAGCATCTTCCTCTACGCCAGTCTCTTCACATTATTGCTAATGATACTTTCCCTCCCACCTCTACCTCTCAAGTTGCCACCCTGTCCTGAAATTCACCTTCTCCTCCTCCAACTTATGTCTCACCCATACTAGACAACCCTCGTTGTTTATTCCAGCCCTTATTGTCTTTTCTCTTATACTGTTATGGATCTTGTGTTCTGTACCAAAAAAAAAAAAAAAAAAGGCAATTTAAAGTATTGAGTCAACTCCTTGAGTCTGGGACAATGTTTGTATTTCCTCTGTATCTGCAAAGATGCTTATAAACAATGAATTTGTAGTAGGTTAATAACATTGGGGCCCAACTAATAGCCATAATAATTATAACATAGAACCTAACATGTATCGACCACTTGATGCTATAGCTCACTTAATCCTTTCAACAAACTGACAATATAGATACTTTTATTATACCCAATATTATCAAAATTATATCTGATTTTGCTTTAGAGATGTACTATGCCTTTGTAAGAAAATCACAGTTCAACAGAATATTTTTAACAGTTTATTGGGATGTAACGACATAAGTTACATATTAACCATTTAAAATATATAATTCAGCTGGGCATGGTGGCTCATGCCTGTAATCCCAGCACTTTGGGAGGCCAAGGTGGGTGGATCGCTTTGAGTTCAGAAGTTCAAGACCAGCCTGGGCAACATGGCGAAATCTCATCTTTACAAAAACACAAAAATTAGCCAGGAGTTGGTGGCATGTGCCTCTAGTCCCAGCTACTTGGGAGGCTGAGGCTGGAGAATCGCTTGAGCCCTGGAAGTAGAGGTTGCCGTGAGCTGAGATTGCACCACTGTACTCCAGTGTGGGTGACAGAGTGAGACCCCCTCTCAAAAAACAAAACAAAATAAGACAAAACAAAGAACAATTCAATGATGGTTAGTATATTCTTAGTTATGTGCAATCATCACTATAGTGAATTTTAGAACATTTTCATCACTTCAAAAAGAAACTGTACCCATTAGTTACCACCCTAGCCCTAAATAATGAATCATCATCTTTGTGTCTCCAATTTGCCTCTTCTTGACAGTTCATAAAAATAGAATCACATAATATGTCATCTTTTGTAATTAGCTGCTTTCACTTAGCTGACAGATCTCAACTATCATCTATCTTGTATCATGCATGTATTAGTGCTTTATTATTGTTTATTGCAGAATAGTATTCCATTGTATGGATTTTCTTTATCATTTACCACTTGTTAGACATTTGGGTTGCTTCCACAATTGGGATATTATGCTGTTATATATATTCACGTACGAGTTTTTGTGCTGATATATGTTTTTATGTCTCTTGAGTATATATCTAGGAATGAAATTGCTGGGTCATATGGCAACTCTATATTTAACAATGTGAGGAACTTAGCAAAGTGTTTTTCTAACGTGGCTGTACCATTTTACATTCCCACTGATACGGTTTGGATGTTTGTCCCCTCCAAATCTCAATGTTGGTGATGGGGCCTGGTGGGAGGTGTTTAGGTCATGGGGTAGGATCCCCCATGAATGGCTTGGTACCATCTTCATGGTAATGAGGGAGTTCTCACTCTGTTAGTTCATGTGAGAGGTGGTTGTTAAAAAGAGCATAGTACCTCCTCCTCCTCTCTCTCTCTCTTGCTCCCACCATGTAATATGCTGGATGCCCCTTTGCATTCCATCATGATTGAAAGCTTCCTGGGCCTCACCAGAAGCCAGGCAAATGCTGGTGCCATGCTTATGCAGCCTGCAGAACTGTGAGCTAAATAAACCTACTTTCTTTATAAATTACCCGGTCTCAGGTATTCCTTTACAGCAATGTGAATGAACTAACACAACCACCAACAATGTTAGGAGGATTCTGATTTCTTCATATCGTCACCAGCACTTGTTATTTGACCGTTTTCTTATAGTCACCCTAGTGGGTATGAAATGATATCTCATTATAGTTTTGATTTGGATCTCCTGATGCCTAAGTTGGCCAAGAATCATTTCATGTGCTTATAGGCCACTTTATATATTCTTCTTTGGAGAAATCTCTATTTAGATCCTTTGCCCACTTTTAACATTGGATTATTTGTCTTTTTTATTGAATTGTAAGTTATTTATATATTCTAGATTCAAGTCCCTCATGAGATGTATGATTTGCAAACATTTTTTCCACTCTGGGGGATGTCTTTTCATTTTCTTGATAGTGTCCTTCAAAGCATAAAAAGTTTTGATTTTGAAGTTCATTTTATCTATTTTGTTGTTGTTGTTGCTCATGAGTTTGGTGTCTTATTTAAGAATCAACTGCCAAATCCAAGGTCATGAAGATGCAGCCCTCTGTTTTCTTCTGAGAATTATATAGCATTAGCTTTTACATTTAAGTATTTGATCCACTTTGAGTTAATTTTGTATGTGGGAAGAGTCCAATTTCATGCTTTTGCATGTGGCTACCCAGTTGTTCCAGCACCACTTGCTAAGAAGACCAGTCTTCCCCCATTGCATTGTTTTGGTATTATTCTTGAAATCAGTTGACCTCAGACATCAGGGTTTACTTCTGCAAACTTGTATCCATTTCAATGATCTGTATAATCATCTTTATGCCAATAGGACACCGTCTTAATTACTGTTGCTTTGTAGTAAGTTTTAAAAGTGAGAAATATGACGACTCCTACTTCAATGTTCTTTTTCAAGTTTGCTTTAGCTCTTTTGGGTCCTTTGCAATTTCATATTAATTTCCATATGAATTTCCTCCAAAAAGTCCTTTCAGACTTTGATAAGGATTGCTTTAAATAAATTTCATGTTAATTTCCATATGAATTTCTTCCACAACATCCTTTCAGATTTTGATAAAGATTGCTTTAAATCTGTAGATCACTTTGGTGAATAGTGCCACCTTAACAGTGTGGAGTCTTCTAATCCATGAGCATGGCTGGTTTTTCTCTTTATTTTGATTTTTAATTTATCTCAACAATGTTTTGTTTTTTTTTTCAGAAACTAGTTTGCACTTATCTTGTTTCAGAGTCGTTGGACTATAAGTTTTGCACTTCTCTTGTTTTCCATTCTTTTAACCATATTTGTTTATTTTATGAACAGGTATTCACAATTTCACAATCAGTATACTATAAAAAGACTTCCATAAAGAAGTTACTCTCCAATGTTCTTAGCTCACCTAATTGACTAGTGCTAGTCACCTTCCGTTAGTTCATTATGTATACTTCTAATATTTATGCATTTATATTGTTATGTGCCCCGATTTTTACATAAAGGGCAGCACACTGATAACTGATAACTCTGTTCTCTACTTTGGTCTTTTCATTTAACAATATATCTTAGAAGTCTTTCCATATTAGTAGAAAGAATGGTCCACTTTCCTTTCTTCTCTCTTTTTCCCCTACCCTCCCTCCCTCCCTCCCTCCCTCCCTCCCTCCCTTCCTTCCTTCTTTTCCCTCATTCTTTCCTTTTGGTGGCTGCATAGTGTTTCATTCTGTGGCTGAACCACAGTTTATTTTACCAGTACCCAGCTGGTATACTCTATGAAGCTTTCTGATTTTTTTTTGTTTGTTTTTTACAAATTACTATGAACTATGGCATTTTCTGTGAGTGCAGGTAATTCTGTATTACATATATTTCCAGAAGAAGAATTGCCAGTTACATTTATTCATAAGTATAATATTCCTTTTGATACTATGATAAATTGTTTTCTGAATTTCATTTTCTAATTGTTTCTTGGAAGTGCATAAAAGAACTGAGTTTTATATATTGATCTTCTATCCTGAAAACTTGCTGAACTTATTTATTGGTTATAGTAGATTTTCAGTGGATTCCTTAGGGTTTTCTGTATACAAGATCATGCCATCTGCAATAAGGATACTTTTATTTTTCCCCTTCTTATCTGGATATTTTGTATTTAGTTTTCTTGCCTAATGGCCTTGGCTACAACCTCCAGTATAATGTTGGATAGAAGAGGTGGGAGCATACCTTTGTGTCTTGTTTTTTATCTCAGGAGGAAAATGTCAAGCTTTTCACCACTAAGTATCATGTTATTTGTGGACTTTACATAGATTCCCTCATTGGATTAGGAAATCCCTTTCTATTTCTAGTTTGTTGAGTGTTTTTAACATGAAAGTGCACTGGACTTTGTAAAATGTGTTTTCTGCATCAATTGAGATGATTGTGTGGTTTCAGTGTTTTCTTCTATCGAAAGGGTGTTGATAATGGTTTGGCTGTGTCCCCACCCAAATTTTATCTTGAACTGTAGCTCCCATAATTCCCATGTGCCATGGGAAAGGCCCGGTGGGAGGGAATTGAATCATAGGGTGGGTCTTTCCCATGTTATTCTCATGATAGTGAATAAGTCTCATAAGATCTGATGGTTTTATAAAGGGGAGTCCCCTTGCAAATGCTCTCTTGCCTGCCACCATGTAAGACGTAACTTTGTTCCTCATTCTCCTTCTGTCATGATTGTGAGGCCTCCCTCGCCATATAGAACTGTGAGTGAATTAAACCTCTTTCCTTCATAAATTACCCAGTCTTGGGTATCTCTTTATTAGCAGCATGAAAGAAGACTAATACAGGTGTGTTATGTTATTTGATTTTTCAATATTAAAAATCCTCTCATTGCAAGGACAAATCTTACTTTGTTAGGGTGTGTAATTCTCTTGGTATCAAGATAATATTAACCTCACAAAATGAGCTGGGAAGTAACCTTCTTTCATATTTCAGAAGAGTCTGTGAAGAATTGGAATTAATTCCTCTTTAGATATTTGTTAGAATTCACCAATGAAGCTCCCTGGCCCTGGGGTGAGATTAACATTGTGGATAGTCTTCTAAAAATCACTAATTCAGTCATTTTACTTGTTATAGGTCTACTATGATTATCTGTTTCTTCTCAAGTCAATGTTTCTTCTCAAATCAAAAATGTTTGTCTTTTTATTGAATAAATTCTTTCTTATCTTAATAGTTGTGCTAGTATTTATCAGTGAACAAAATATAGTATTTTAAAGCGTTGGATTTTAGGTATTATTTCTTTTTGTTTGTTTGTTTTATTTTGTTTTGTTTTTGAGATGGAGTCTCACTGTCGCCCAGCTTGGAGTACAGTGGCGCAATCTTGGCTCACTGCAACCTCTGCCTCTCGGCTTCAAGCAATTCTCCTGCCTCTGCCTCCTGAGTAGCTGGGACTTCAGGTGTGCACCACCATGCTTGGCTAACTTTTGCATTTTTCGCAGAGATGGGGTTCACCATGTTGCCCACGCTGGTCTCAAACTACTGACCTCAGGTGATACGCCCCCCTCAGCCTCCCAAAGTGCTGGTATTACAGGCATGAGCCACCATGCCTGGCCTTAGGTATTATTTCTATGTTCTGTATTATGCTGAATAAAACACGAGTAAAAATGATTAATGGAAACCACACTGTTGGAGAATGAACGTGACATGCAGTGAAAGCTGAATTAGAGTCTGGTCTTATCTGTAGTTCTAACTCTAGAACTAACAAGCCAAGTGTGTTTATTAGTAAAAATATTTCCTGGATCTGAGGGTCCTCACTTGTATAAGAGGAGGGTTCAATTAAGTGATTTCTAAGGTACTTTCTTCCCTAAAATTTCTTTTATTTTGTAAAATGTGAATCATTGTGAGATAAATATGAAATAAAGACAATATAAGGTGGGATCCATAGATATAATAAGCCATTTGAAAGAAAAAATAGACAAATATAAACTAGTGGCAACTTCTGGTAAAAGTTACATAATGAGGTTCACATTCTGATGATACATAATAACTAATTTCAAATGATTGTTCTGTTTGAAATAAAGTCGCTTCAACATAAAAGTCCACTATCTTTTTTTTCTTAAAAGGGTTAATACATAAATTATGAATATCCATACATGGACTGTTACATATCAGTCCCTCTAAGTGAATTAGATATTAATGTGTTAACATGAATAATTATTAAAAATTAATAATTGAGTAAATGTGAACCAACTTTATAAAGGACAGAAATTGTTGAATTATATTTATATAAATTCATACATACAAAAGTACTATAAAAATGAGGATTATCACTTGATACACTTCAGAATTATAGTTATATAAAGAAAAGAACAGAGGGTAGGAGAATGGGTCAGAGATATACAATAGGCTTCAGTACATCTAAAATTTGTATTCTTTTAAACACATGTAAAACAATGATAATATTTCAATATATAATAAATCTGAATGATACTATTAGCATTTTTCTTATATTATTTCTAGCCTTTTGTATATCTGAACTATTTCACAACATTAAAAAGAAAGAAAAATTTATGTATATTTTATATGGAAAGCTTCAGAAGTATATGAATATAGGAATAAATTAACACTCATGAAAATATAAATTTATATTTCATGTAATTGCTGATGATTTTTATCAGGGGATAACCAAACCACTCACCATTTGATGCTGTAAAATCAATAGCCACTGTGAAATTGATTTGCGTCCTGAAATAGAAGTAAACAAGAATCATTAATAATGAAACAACCTGATAAAAGGAGTTTCTTTTCCATTTGGGTTATATGTTTTAATGTCACTAATTTCTCAAACGTTAATTAAGAGCGATATATTACAGTACATATTGCATAGCATCAGAAAGGCAGTTTTACATGGTAAGAACTTGGCAAAAATGTATTTATAGTTACATATATTTATAGTCACATAAAATGAAAACTAAAGTCTCAGGAATAAAAGTAGCTCCTATTTTGGAGTATGATAACTAAGTAAGTGACTCATAACAAAGTAGTCAAAATGCAAATAATTGTTTTCCAGCCTCAATGCCACCATTTATTATTAATTTATCTGTTTCCAAAATTGTTCTGTAGTAATCATGAAATTAGCATGCCCTTAAAAGTGTTACATTGCTAAAATCATCTCTAATAATGTCATTCCTTAAACTAATTCTATTTAACAATCCCCCAAACACAAGATTTTCTCCAGCATCCCTTCCTGATAAAACTCACAAGAAGCTAGGCGTTGAAGGAACACTCCGCGAAATAATAAGGGCCATCTATGACAAATTCACAGCCAACATCATACTGAATGGGCAAAAACTGGAAACATTCCTCTTGAGAACTGGAACAAGTCAAGGATGCCCACTCTCACCACTCCTATTCCACATAGTACTGGAAGAGCTGGCCAGAGCAATTTGGCAAGAGAAAGAAATAAAAGGCATCCAAATGGGAAAATAAGTCAAACCATCTCTCTTCACGGACCATACAATTCTGTACCTAGAAAATCCTAAATACTACACTAAAAGGCTCCTGGAACTGATAAATTCTGCAAAGTTCAGGATACAAAATCATGTACAAAAATCAGTAGCATGTTTATACACCAGTAACGTTCAAGCTGAGGGCTAAATGAAGAATGCAATCCCATTCACAAGAGTGACACACAAAAAATAAATATATATAGGAATAAATCTAACCAAGGCAGTGAAATATATCTACCAGGAGAACCATAAAACACTTCAAAAGAAATCATAGAACATAACAAAAGAAAAAACATTCCATACTCATGCATTGGAACAATCAAAATTATTACAATGGGCACACTGCCCAAAACAATCTAAATATTCAATGCTATTCCTATCAAACTACTAACGTCATTTTTCACAGAATTGGGAAAAACTATTCTAAAGTTCCTAGGAAACCCAGAAAGAGCCTGAAGAGTCAAAGCAATCTTAAGCAAAAAGAACAAAGCCAGAGGCATCACATTACCTGACTTTTTAGTATAAGACTAACCAAAACAGCATAGCACTGGTACAAAAACAGACACACAGACCAATGGAACAGAATAGAGAGCCCAGAGATAAAGCTGCACATCTATAGATATCTGATCTTGGACAAAGTTGACTAAAATAAGCAATGGGGAAATTTACTGAATAGCATTTTATTGAATAGTATCTATTTCACAAATGGTGCTAGAATAACTGGCTGGCCACATGCAGAAGAATGAAACTTGACCCCTACCTTTCACCATATACAAAAATTATTAAATCAAGAAGGATTAAAGATTTAAGTATGAGACCTCAAACTATAATTATCCTAGAAGAAAACCTTGAAAACACCATTCTGGATATTGGCCTTGGGAAATAATTTATGACTAAATCCTCAAAAGTAATCATAACAAAAACAAAATTGATAAGTAGGACCTAATTAATCTAAAGAGCATCTACACAACAAAAGAAACTATCAATAGAGTGAACAGACAACCTAGAGAATGGGAGAAAATATTCACAAACTATGCATCTGACGAAAGTCTGATATCCAGAATCTACAAGGAACTTAAACCAACAAGCAAAAAACCCAATTAAAAAATGAGCAAAAGACATGAACAGACACTTCTAAACTAGCCAACATACATGAAAAAATGCTTCACACCAGTAATCATCAGAGAAATGCAGATCACAAGCACAATGAGATAACATCTCACGTTAGTCAGAATGGCTCTTACAACAGTGTCAAAAAACAACAGAGGTTGGCCAGGCTGTGGAAGAAAGGGAAGAATGCTTATACAATGTTGGTGAGAATGTAAACTAGTTCCAGCCACTGTGGAAAGCAGTTTGGAGTTTTCTCAAAGAACTTAGAACTACCACTGGACTCAGCAATCCCATCACTGGGCATAAACCCAAAAGAAAACAAATCATTTTACCAAAAAGACACATGCACTCCATGTTCATTGCAGCATCATTCAGAATAGTGAAGACATGGAGCAAACCTAGCTGCTCATCAACAGTGGATTAGATATTAAAAAATGTGGTACATACACACCATGGAATGCTACACAGCCACAACAAAGAATAAAGTCATGCCCTTTGCAGCAACTTGGATATAGCTGGAGACCAATACCCTAGGCAAATTAATGCAGGGACAGAAAGCAAACACCACACATTCTTCCCTATAAGTGTGAGCTAAACATTGGGTACTCATGGACATAAAGATGGCAACAACAGACACTGGTGACTATTAGAGGAGAGAAGGAAGAAGGATGTCTTGAGAGCTGAAAAATGAACTGTTGGGTACTATGCTCAGTACCTGGGTGACGGGATCATTTGTACCCTTAACCTCAGCATCACACAATATATCCAGGTAACAAACATGCACATGTAACTCTTGAATCTAAAAGAAAAGGTGAAAAAAGAAACAAACAGGATTTTCTTTTGTTTTCTTCAGAAATGAAGTATTTCAGACACTAGTAGTCTCCCATTGCTCACAGCATTTCTCTGTGTGTTTTTGTGTATGTGTATGTGTATGTGTGCATGTGTGTGTGGTGTATTTACAGATATAGATAAATACAGATATGTAGTGATTGATGAAATATGTTACAAAATGCTCCTCAACTTGCAGTGGGGTTACATCCTGATAAATCAACCATAAGTTGAAAACACTGTAAGACAAACGCATTTAAATACCTTACCTAAGGAAAGTCATAGTTAACTCTAGCCTATTTTATTGTGCTCTGAATGCTTCCATTAGCCTATAGTTGGGCAAAATAATCTGGCAACACAGTACACTTTGGAGTTATCAGTTGTTTACCCAGTGATCCTGTGGCTGACTGGGAGCTGTGGCCACTGCCCAGCATCAGGAGAGCATATCATACTGCTTTTCTTTCTACTGAATGCATATTGATTTTGCACCATGGTAAAGAAAAATCTTGTTGAACTATTGTAACTTGGGGACCGTGTGTGTGTGTGTGTATATATATATGTGTGTGTGTATGTGTGTATATATATGTGTGTGTGTGTGTATACATATTTCAGCACATGGTTGTTACCCAAAGTTATTTTACTGAATTAGTTTAGTTTTTTTTTCTGATGGAAACTAATGAGGTGGTGGCATTCACATAAGAAATTCACTTTTTTGAGCATACCTATGACTCTATATGTAATTCCATCTCTTTCTTCCCAGAGAAAATATACAAACACAAATACATGACAATGCTATAAATACTGTAATAACCTGGAATCACATTTAATCTACAAAATATGTTTAATTAAAAGTAAATCATCTGAAAACGAGTACCTTATTTTTTTTTAGCAACAAATTACTTTTGATCACACAGCACAATTGATTTAACACTTTGAAGTTTGGAACTATTGGATAAATAATGATGGGATTTAAATAAAGCAATCTGATTCTGCTATTACAGCATAGGGTCCCTTGTAGTTCTCTTTGTAAAAACTATAGTGATATTTCCTTCTTTCTCCAAATATCCAGCCTGGAAAGACCTAAATGCAATGCAGGTATTGAATCAAATTCACACATTGTTTTTTTTTTTCCCCTACGGAAACAACAACCTTTCTTGCTTACATTTAACAAAAACTAGTATAGATTCCCTTTATATGAATAGTTATATGGTATTTTTTTCTCAGAGCAGAAATCAGGTTTATAGGCTAAGAATATAGGCTAATTTGGAGCATAATACTAACCAGCATGAACCTAAGTGAGTACAAATTTTAAAAAAAAGAATATAGTAAGACTTCTGGGAGAACATTTTCAGATAAAAGCCCCTTTGAGGGACTGAAAAGAACAATCACCATCAGCACACTGCTTTGTCATGCTGTGGTAGGGAGAGAAATGACTGTGACACACAGCAGTATGGTAGATTAGAAAGGGTGTGGATTTTGAATCTGAATGAACTGGGTTTAAGTCCCAGCAACCCAGTTGGTGACCTTAGCCAAATTTCAAAACTCTTGGAGGGCAGGTACCTGGACCATAGAAATGAAATGAGAACTGAAAGGAAACAACATGAGATATTACATACATGTTTTATTTTACACACATAATATATATACATATATCATAAGATATTCACATTATATATATCACACATTATATATAATGTGACGTTACATGGCTACTACCAGTTAACCACACAATAATTTTAAAGAGAAGATACTATCATCTTCTTTTTACAGAGAAGGAAATCTATGCTTACAAAACTTAATAATTTCCACACCAGTAATAAACAAGAACACTGGAATTTGAATTCACATTCAACTACAAAGACCATAATCATAACCTCTATACTAATCTGTTTCTCCAGTTAAATATTTGCAAACTTCCTGGCTATAATAGGCACACAATAAAGGATATGGATTCTATTATTAATATTATGCTGCAATCCTGGAAAAAATTCTACATAGATGTTCTTAATGGTAAAAAAAAAAAATCTGGATATAATCTCATGCTTGGGCAAATTTTTCCTTCTATCAAATATGTTATCAAATATATAAATAAAATAATCTGTATATATTCTTTTTTGTTATTTTATTCAAATAACACCTCATTAGGAATAAAAAATAACTTTGAGCTTTAAGAATATATGTTTTAACAGACTATAAAGATCAATTTGGAAGTCCAGTCTTTGGTTCAATGTCAATACACTGTAGGAAAATACACATTATTATCTTGATTCAACTCTCTCTTGTAACAGCATCTGCACA